GCCCACTTCAGGGTGTGGGGAGACCCTCACCCCCCACCCAAACACCGCTGCTGCCTGTCAGGTCCCCGAACTCTTCCTGTGTGAGCCTGAGACTCATTCCCACTTCTTGATTTAAAAGTTTTTTGATCAAAAGGGTTGTTTTTTTCCCAGAGATGGCTGTGGAAGCCGAGCCGTCCGGCCCTTCCCAGTGCTGTTTTATGGGGTCACGGCAGAGACCTTGGCTCCAGCGTAAATTGGGCTCTGGGGAAAAGCAGCACTAAAAGAAACTCTTAAGAACATAAAACCATAAAAATTCAGTTGGGGCGGGAAGCACGTTCCTGGTGTTCTCCAGGGGTTTCGGTGCCCGTCTGAATATCTGGGGGTAAGACCGTGGGTTGGTCTGGGAAATCTGGGAGGGTTTCCTCCTCCCATGGAGGGCTTTGCTGTGTCCCCAGCGGGGAATGTCCCCTTCCCTGAGCTCCCAGTTCCCATGCTGGATGGGAAGGCATCGCCTTGGCATTGCTGAGAGAGTTGGGGCTGTTCAGCCTGGAGAAGAGAAGGCTCCGGGGAGATCTTATTGCTGCCTTCCAGTACCTAATGGCGGCCTACAGGAGAGCTGGGGAAGGACTTTTTACTAGGGCATGTAGTGACAGGACGAGGGGGAATGGCTATAAACTGGAAGAGGGCAGGTTTAAATTAAACATTAGGAAGAAATTTTTCACTTTGAGGGAGGTGAGGCACTGGAACAGGTTGCCCAGAGAGGTTGTTGAGGCCCCATCCCTGGAGGTGTGCAAGGCCAGGCTGGATGTGGCCTTGGGCAACCTGGTGTGGTGGGAGGGGTCCCTGCCCCGGGCAGGGGGGTTGGAACGATATGATCTTCAAGGTTCCTTCCAAGCTAAACCATTCTATGATTCTATGATTCACACACCAAAACCCTTCAAAGCAGAAAATGCTGCTTCCTAGAGGGTTGGCGGGGTGACATCCTGTGCCGGGAGACACCTCCCTCTCTGCATTTCCAAGGCAGCATCCCTTTGCAAGCTGAGACTGTCTGGCAAAAGCCACAGCCGCGGATGCCCCGGGGTGGTAGATTAGGGACAGGAGGCTGCCGAGTTGGGGATGAAGACATCCCTGCGGAGCATCGCAGCATTCCCTTTGGACCAGCTGACACCCGCAGCCTCCCCGAGCTGGGCTTTCATCCGCAAAAGCAGGTGGAGGGTTGGGTTGCTTTCAAAACCTCCCTGTCTTTGGGGCTGCACCGTCGGGTGCTGAGCGGGGCCGTGTGCTGAGCAAAGGTTGGCGGGAGGCTTTCCCTGTACACAAACCGTGTTTGCTCAGCAAAGTGCTGCTGGAAGTGGCACCAGGCTTGGCCGGCGCGCAGAGGGCTCTGGCGGGCACCAGGGTGGGGTTGTGACCGCATTGAACCGGGATGCCCGGCTCTCACCCGGCTGCTTGTGCCAAACCGCTCACGTGGCTGCCGGCAGCCCCTGTGCGTCGGGGGGTGACCTGGGCGTTAGGCAGGTGATGGGGATGTTCTCCTGCCTGTGGGAAGCAACGTGGTGCAGAATGAAGGGACAGATGCCTCGAGAGTTGGCGTCTCTGCTGCTCTGCGGTCGTTCACACCTGTAGTTGTAGCCCTTAATGCCGGAGGTGGCAGCTCTTCGAGGCTGTCTTGCCGGGCTGCCCTTCCTCTTCTTGGGTCAGGGGTTGATAAACTCAGTGGGAACTGGGCGACGTTGCCTTGTCGCAAGGTCTGATGGATGGTGTCCTTCCTCCTGCATGGCTCCCTGCCCTCCTGGTGCCGGGAAGTGGCTGACATGGTCTACCCTTGACTCTGGGCATGCAAAATCTGCCCGTGTGCTGACCCCAGCACACGTTTCCACCGTGCTCAGGGGATGCTCCAGCCAATGGGGTTGATGGGATGCGGGGCTGCTCCAGTTGATGTGGCACTGGGATGCTCCAGTTGATGGGGTGCTGGGATGCTCTGGTTGATGGGTGCTGGGATGCTCCAGTTGATGGGGTGCTCTGGTTGATGCACTAGGATGCTGTGGTTGCTGGGGTGCTGGGATGCTCTGGTTGACATGGTGTGCTTCTGGGTTTCTTCTTCTTCCCTCACAGCACCTGGGATGCCAGTGCCATCCCCACCTACGAAGAAGCCCTGACCTGCAGACCTGCCCACGGTGCCCCAGCCTACGTCCAGCCCCCGGGGAGGAAGGAGGAGATCACACCACCACTGTACCACTACCTGGAGGAGGACGAGAGCTGGCAGGGCGGCCGTCGCCGCAGCTCCTCTGACAGCGCCTTGTTCCGCCCCAGCCCGTCCTGGCTGGAGACCCAGCAACCCGGGGAGCCGCAGGCAACGCCTCCCCCCAGCTACGAAAACATCAGTGTCCGGGGTGTCTGAGCTGGTGGTGGCAGGAGGCCGGGGCTCTGCGGGTGGCTGCCCGGTCCCTCGGCTTTAAACCGAGCCCCTTCCATTGCCAGGGTGAGAGAGGAGGGCGGTTGAGGAGGGGGCAGGCAGAGGGGTCCATCTGGCTTTCCGAGCGATCCGTCGGGGGCTGTTGGGATTGCAGGTCCCGTGGGCGATGCTTTCGGAGCGGTGGGGGTAACTGGCATGTTTGAAAGCCTTTGTATTTTTAATAAAACCACTGCTGGTTGCCGATGCTTTGCGTTCCTTACTCTGCCTAACCTTGGGGAGCTCCTATCAGGCCAGGGGCTGCCCACTCAAAGTAAGATAATAAAATCTGCAGCAAAGAACGAGGAATCTGGCCAGAGGAAAAAACAGGTCCGTGCCACCCTGTTCACTCCTCTGCCTTCTCAATGTCCCTTCCAGCCATATCTGCATCCCTTCCACCTTGCTTTCCCCTCATACTGACTTCCCATGCCTCGCTTCATTTGGTCTAGAGATGCTCAGCGGCTCGTGCGTGCGTTCAGGGCATCTGAATGCGCTTGGCATTTCAGGCAGTATCCTATAAAAAGACACCCTGAGCGGCTCACCCTCTTCCCTGCCCACCACGGAGGGGTTTGCAGCCTTGCCCAGAGGAAAGGCCAACTTCATCGGGGGCTGCTGCCGGTTGCTCCGTCCCACCAAAATAACAGGCTGCCCTGGACCCCCTGCGGACCTGCAGAGCTGTGGAGCCATAGCCACATGTAACATATTATATATATAATAGAATAGAATAGAATAGAATAGAATAGAATAGAATATATTGTTTTTGTAAGCCAGGTGCACGCTTTCCTACACGGGCAGGCAAGCAAGGCAACAAACCGAAGGCTAATTGAAGCCACCGCTACTGTCTGGCTGTCGGATGTGTGGTGGGAAGGGAACACCTTTTGGCACCCCTGCTCCATCTCAAGGAAACACAGTTCACACAGCCACTGTCCTCACTCCCCCTGGGGGGACCGACCCTGCTCCATCCTTCCTTGCCTTTATCCCCCGCCTTGGCAGCCTGGTTGCTACCCCAGCGAGGCAGCACCCAGCCTGTGCAAGCAGGGACTATTTCCAACCCACCGCTCTCCAAAAAGACCCCAGAGCGCTGCTCCTCTCCCCTGCTGCAGCCCTGCAAGCCTTGAAAACATGCCGTGCCCTGGCATCCCCCTCATTTTGGGGCTCTGCCAGCTCTGATTTACGGGCCAAGTCCACCTCCAGCCCCCAGGGCTGGGAAAGTCCCCTTGGGACCAGCCGCTCTCCGGGTCGCCGTCTCTGCCGCCGTGCCCCCCCTGCTCCTTTCCCTCTCCATCCCCTGCCCAGGCGTGGGGTCCGGCCGCGCGTGCCCGCAGGGAAGGTTACCCGGACACGTGCCGGGCGGCTGCACTGGAGTGTGAACGGCGGGGGCGGGGTTTGGTTCATTACAAAA